GTTAATAGCATAATTGCATCGTAACATCAATTGGCTGACGTTTATTTGTGAAACTGCAGTTACAACAAGAATTTTTAACGTCCAAGATAAAGGAATGAGAAGATAAATTAAGTACTGTCTGTAGTTCACGCGAGTATAAATCTAAAGACATTCATAGATAAAAATATTTATTGAAAAAAAAAATTAAAACTAATTTGAAATAATTTAAATTTTAAGAAAATGTATTATTATAAATTAAATAAAATTACATTTAAATCCACTTTCCAATTATTATTGCAAATTTATTTTCCATTTATTTTATTATATTGTAATCTATCTTAATTTAATTATAATTTAGTACAAATTTAGGCAAAACACTTTTGACGGTTTAACACACGAACTATATCACTTAACTTATTTATTAAACCTGCCCCGTGACCACGACCGCTGCAAATCATCCGCAACGTAAACGGGCCGTAGTTATAATAATTTGTAAGTAAGTATAACAAATACATTTCGCTTTTTAGATCGTTAGAAGTGTTTTATTTAAAAGAAAATAATGTCGATACTGATTCTAATATTATGTGTTTTTCGATACCGTAAATCGAATTGCTAAAATATCGTCGTAATCAAGTAAACCACATGATAGGTGAAATATATTAGTAAAATTATTTTTAACCCCGACGTTTTCTATTCTTTGCAACAGCCATGATCAGGTGGGAGGTTATTCGCGTTTTGAACCAATAAAAGTATTTTAATTAAATATATTATACTCTCGTAAACTACTGACAATACTTAAATATCATCGTATTACAGTTTTCAATAACTCATATCTGTTATAGTTTTTAGTGTAGACTTAGCGTGCGTTTTTGCTGCTTTAGTTGAAGGATCTATAATAATACACAAACGTATAGTACGGCTGCCTTTTTAACTCAATTGTTAGACTCAAATAATTACATCTACGAATCCCAAATGTTAATTTTGTTTTGCTAGCACAGCACACAAAAGTCAGATTGAGATTAAGAGACTTTACAAACGGACACACAACTATGTCGGCTTTACACCTGGTTAACGAAATTCACACTACATATTATATAAATTCGACGTTTTTTACGTAAATTCATGCGACTCGATTATATGAAACGTGAGAAGCGTAAATGGATACGCTACCTCCTTATTAAATATAAAAATTCTGAAACATCGTAAAAATGTCGCGTATCATGCTCCTTCACGCTTTTTTATACATAGACGAAAACATTTATATTAAAACACTAGCTGATCTGGAAAACGTTATTGTTACAAGATTATTACGTTGATACAACTGTCACAAATAAAACGTTTATTTCGAGTTCATCAAGACAAACATATACTGTCGTGGACATTTTTTTAAAATCGTTTATAGAGGAATCATTCTTGTATCCATATTTTTGTCTTGAATAGTTTTCGCAGCCCACGCTTCGGATGCCCTCAAAGATGAATATTTTTTTCGTTTCACATTTTCCACTGTTTCTTTGCTCCTGTTGGTCACAGCGTGGTGTTTTAGCTAAAGCCTGATAAATGGTCTATATAACAGAAAAAAAATCAAACCAATAGTAATTAAGACTAGCGCGTTTAACAAACAATCTCTTCAGCTTTATTAGTATACATTACCTTATATTAGTATAACATTAATCGTATACGTATTTACTTTAGTGGTTTTCAACGTTCATGGCGGTGAGCTAGTTTGGGAAACCAGAACAGATTATATACAATAAGTAAATAATAGGGTATATTTATCAGAAGCACTGGTATGAGGTAATCATAGGTCAACAACAAATCTTAATAAAATATTTTAAGGTTACCTTTTCTGTAAATCATAATCAAAATAGACTAAGCCAATGTCAGTAGAAATATAACGTAATAAGAATTTAATTAAAAATATATAAAATAAAAATATTGAGTTGCTATAAAGATATTTTAAGGTATCTTTATTATATAAAATTAACTAACTTATTCGACAAGGAATAAATTAAAAACGCAAGTTCTTTTTACGATATTAAGTTGAGATAAAATTTAACATTGCGAGTGCTTTTCAGAAGCCATAAAAATATACATAAGTTTAATTTACGTCACGATCATTATTTACTTATAGTAATAACTTTCAAAGTGGCTTAGGTGCTAGCTATATTCATGGGTGCCTCATTTTTCTAAATTATAAATAATCTTATTATATCTTGAACTACATATTTCATTTTAGAAAGTCACCCATATAACTAAAATAGTTTTACGGATTAAAACACGATAAATATTACTCCGATTCGTACCAGACCGTAGCTAATATAAGTTAATAATAAACGAGAATAAGTAAACCAAACCAAACGTTTTCTTGGTTAAAATTATAAAACGACATAACGCATAGTTATTGCATTTGTTCTGCAACCTCGAAGGACTTTCTTAAACGTTTAACATTTAATAAGCTTATCTTGAAAAGCCGTCGCCAAGTTACATTCTGATTTCGGTTTGGTTATGTAGTCTCAACTATCAACAGATTACCGCGCTTTAAGCTCAAGATGTTGAACAATGGAAGCTGCCAGCAAGCCGCTAGTGCTATTGTAGAGAAACTAATCCTATAGGTGTACAGCAGTAACTGGCTAAGCTCATTTCCTTGCTGATACCTCATATACTGTTTATTTATAATGAATATTTGAGGATTTGGAAAGGTTTAATATTTTTCACATGTTACTGCATATGATGACAATATATAAATTAGATTAGATTAAGAATTGAAAAATTACGACTCGAGCAGTACTTGAAACGGCATCCACAGCGTTCGTGATGTTGCGACTCGGTAGCTCAATTGGTTACCCGTTATAACAACAGCACGAAACGTTGTGGATGGCGGTGGTTTATTCAATTTGAAATCGATTTTTAAAGAAAATATTTGACTACTTACTTATTAATATTATTTTCGATATTTGTAAATTGAAAACAATGTCTCATCTTTCTTGACTGTTACTTAGCACAAGTATGAACATCAATCGACAGTTAAACTACATTGTATAACTTGTACATTACGTAAAGATCACATAAAAAAGATCATAAGCCTTTTAGGTCAAACATAGAGCTTTTAATACAAAAACAATGAGACGGGCTAAGCTTATCTTGTCTGACCAAAGCCTTTGTCAAAGAAAAAATGACATAAACATCTCTTTACCTTACTTCAACTTTACCTTTGTGTTAACACAATGATAGTTATAAAGTGTTTATCTTTAAATGTAATCCACTATTGTACATAAATAAACATTGGTAATTTTCCTTTTAACAAAGAAAAGCTATACTATTTCAAATATCACTTACGTAATAAAAACATTACATTAAACGTTTAACGGGTTTAAAACGTAAATTGTACAATAATAATTAGTAAACTTAATTTAACTACGGCCGGACGCTTTGAAAGAGGCGTGGCTACGAACTATTAACAATAAGTGAACGCTTCACTTTTTTAAAGTTATAAGTGTACTACTCACGTAAATTAAAAATATTAAGAGAAAAAAAATGTCTTAATGTTAAAATACTTTAAATTATAACTTAATTTTCAAAAGTACAAAGGAGAATCATAAGTTAACGACCACCTTGCTATTTTCAGTTCTGCTAGACGTTTGCTTAAATGTAATGAGTACTTCTTCTGTCATTTCAGGTTGGAGATGGCTTAAAACAAACGTGTCGTGACTGTACCGAGATTAAGTACACTTTTCGCTGCATACCTTGTTGCGCATAAAAGCACAATTACTTGATATTTCGTAATATAATCTCTCTGCTTGAATTTATATACATGTTACGTTTAATAAACAAATGTTATTTGCTTTATTAAATAATAATTACTTATCACCCCGGTTTTAATAAATTGACTTTCCTTTTTATTTTTTAATATAATCATTCTATTTTTATAAACGGTTTGAGGGAACGAATACATTTTTTTTTAATATCTAAGACATCCAAAATACACGTGTTGTCCTAATTTTTTAAGGATCGTTTACGTGTTTATTATCACTTGCACTCCAATTTTAATTATGAACATATATAGTGAGTTTGTGTTTGCGGAAAATATACAATTACAGATTTAAAGGACGTGTACATTTTCAGAAAAGGACACAATATATACTTTTATTATAAGTAATATACACTAAAACATATTTGAAACCAGAATAGGTATATAATATGCAATAACCAAGCATCTTAAGATGTAACAAGAATATAAAGGAATAGATGAAGGGAGGAATTGAATATGTATTATGAGCGAGCAAGCTGAGTTTTCTTTATGGAAATCATTATGTGCACTACTTTAATAAATGGGATTTTTTCATTTATCAACGTCAGGGTCCTATTTTAAGTTGAATGAGATCTCTGTTCAATTATATAATTTTGTTCTTTTCTAAACGGAAATCTGAGACGGAAATTCAAATCGTATTCTTTTTTTTCGTCTATGTTTTTGGTTTTAATATTATTATTTAAGACTCACTTGTAACTTGCTACTCGTTGGTATTATAATATTTGTAAGCCATCTATCAACATGTAAACATTTTTATGTTAAATTTTCTCTTAATTTCTTCATTTAACATAAGTGAGAAAAAAGTAATTCTCCCTGTCGCACGACAATATCTACTCACAGTTAATTATCATGGTTAAATAAGTAATTATTAATTTTATCGACAATATTTTTTTTTATTAAAAATTTGACGTTTCATTTGTAACAGGCGTCGTCAAAACCTAATTCGAGTGTTTCCGTAACGCCCTTAATACGATTATGATTTATACTTAAAATAATATAATCTATGAATGATTGATTAATCAAGGTTTTCTGTGGTCTGTAGTTTGACAGTTAATTGTAAACTGTCAGTAAACGTCAGCGAGACAGCAGTGATAGTACTCAAATATCAGTAACTCAGTAATTAAATAGACATTTTTTGTTTATAAATATAATACTTTGTGTTGGATCTATTTAATTTAGCTTCTGCATAGTGCGAAGTATTGAAATTATTAAAATGAGTATGAGGCCTGATGATCATCGTAGAAAGTGGGATAAGGATGAGTTTGAAAAGATTGCTGCAGAAAGACTGCAAGCAGAGCTAGAGGAAGAGGAACATTCAAAAATAAAAGGTATCTATTGTCACTAAACAGTAAAAAACAACAATAATTTTTACTTAAACGGGTACTAACTATACACACCGAATCACTAAATTCGTAACCTACATTCATATTGTGATAATTTCAGCTCCACCTGTTAAGCGAGAACTTCTTAAACAACGCGAATACAAAGTTGATTTGGATTCTAAATTAGGTAAAAGTGTGGTAATCACAAAGAACACACCAACTTCACAGTCGGGGGGCTATTACTGTAATGTATGTGATTGTGTTGTTAAGGACTCCATAAATTTTCTTGATCACATCAATGGAAAGAAACATCAAAGGAATCTTGGAATGTCCATGAAAATTGAAAGAAGCTCTTTAGATCAGGTAATATAAAAAGTTGCTTATTTACAAGATCTATATAAAAATATTAGTAATAAATTATACAGTATACCTTTTAGGAAGAATTAATTTAATGATGACGTAAAAAACTTCTTTAAGAACATTATTCCGAATATCCAAAGCCAAAATAGTTCAACAGTGTGAACCTTGCTTAGATGCTATATAGACTGGGGTATTTTACCTACCATCAATTCATCCATTTAGTTAAAGTTGTGCACACCTTTAAGTTAGATACATAAGTAGCATTAACTATTCTTAGAAATAGATTTTGTAAGTTTAATTATGTATGTAGTTGGTGAGCCTTGTATAAATAAATAAATCAAGTCAACCCCAAAGTTGTTTGTCATACTCAAACATGAAAAAAACTTCTCTAAACTTCTTCTTCTTCTTCATAATTACTAAAATAGATATACTTAATTGTACAACTTAAGGTATAAAAAATATTAACTTTTCATTACTGTATTTTAGGTCAAGGCAAGGTTTGCAATGAACAAACGGAAGTTAGAGGAAAAAAAGAAGGAATATGAATTAGACACCCGTCTGAAGGAAGCAGCTGAAGAAGAGGCACGACTGAAGGAGTTGAGGCGTGAACGTCGCCGTGATAAGAAACGTAAGGTGCAGGAAGACGATGACAATGAAGATGGCCCTGCTGAGTCTGAATTGGCGCAGATTATGGGTTTCTCTGGATTTGGTGCAACAAAAAAATAATTTATGCAAAAACTTAGTTTAATAAATAAATTTTACTCATTTAATTTTTTTTTATTTTTACCGTTATGTATATTTTTTATTAACTATGCTAAGTTACTTATTAGAGAGGCCAAATGGATTTTTACTTACAATTAGTGTCAGCGACTTCGTCCGCATAGAATAGTTATATTATATACCTTTTTAAATTAAAGCTATTGCCCACGACGTCGGTGTGTCCCGTTTTTCTTGTTCTGTAGTATAATCTTAACAGATAGACATATAGGTAGTGTCGCAGACATTTTTTTTTAATCTTTTAAAAAGAAATCAATCTTTCTATACAATATATTATTTGGGTTAATCTTGAAACGTTGTCGCAGCGCAGAACTTCCTACATTGTTACATACAACAATCTGCTTGTGTATGTAATAACATAGTATCTAAAATTGTAAAGGTACGTACTGACCAAATGGTTGCATTGTAATGTTACATATTACACATTTAACACTGTTAGTACGTTTTTGCCTTAATTCTGATACGAATGCATGATTCATCACGTTTAATTACACTGCGAGGGTTTGGTCAGTACCCACCTGACTATATATAAGCAGTTGTTAAATTATACATATTACAGTGCCTACTGATTACCCTCTCCACGCTGGAAATAAGGTACATAAAATTGTTATTTCTAACACATTATCAACGCTCATCAGATCCGTATCAGAAATACCAACTAACAGATTATATATTTACCTACCATCCATTGTGTTGAAGCTATGATGTGTGACAAAGGTCACCACGGGAACTCTAATATCCGTTATGCATTGAGTTAACCCGCCATCACTAAGAGAAGTAATTTTTTATCGCGGGTTCCGTCGCATTCTTTTCTTATTTTTTTAGTGGTTGAATTTTAACTACGCTAACGGCAGGCATACTTACAAAGCTTTGAATTTATTTATTTTTTATATATTGAACCAAGTGAAATCTTTTCTTAATATTTAATGATTGAATGAGAATTTAATTTTACCAATGCTGATGGCAGGCATACTTGATATGTTATTTTTATAATACTTAACCAATCCAAGTAATCTTTTGAATGTACGGACTCTTAAATTAAAAAAAAAGGATTCTTTCCATGGGTGAAACATTTTTGATAGATACCATGGATGCATCTAAGATTTAAAGACTAGAAAACAAGGTACATGTAACGGCTTAACAATCCAACATAGATATTACCTTAAAAACATAACAAACATATTTATATTTTGCCCCATTAACCTGGTTTTGGAGACTGAAATAAACCAGAATAAAATATCTCTATGGGATGGCAGAATGCATGGTCCCAACAGTAATTAAGCTATGATTTCCGCTACAAGCGCGCCACGCCTTCCTATAAAGCCTAAGTTCAATGTCGAATGGACCACTGTTACATTGGACTGCTATCAGGTAATCAGCCAGTATGTTAAGGAATATTGTTATTTTTATTCTCGTCTTTCTCAGCATCTCATGTTTGGCTTCTCAGGTAAACACTGCATATTACTGCTGTAATATTTTTAAAGATTAATTTAGTATGAAGATTATAAAAGTATATTATTTTTATTTCATTTCAGATACCAACTTATGACTCATCTAGTAAGTACTGAGTGACAGTAACAAATATACTATATATACAATACTATAAGAAATATACTATATATAACTATTTGTTGTAGGTTTGATTTCATGTGTTCTGAAATAATTTTTAAATTTTCATGTAATGTGTATAACCCACACGTATGCAACACAATATCTACTTTACCTGTAGTACCTTAAATAATTGTAATGTTTCACCTATTTCAATATACTCAACTATTATATTAGATACTAGTTGCAATGTAGTAAACAAACTTCTATTATATTTACAGGTGAATCAGATGAAGTTGATAGACTAATACGGGACAAACGCCAACTAGAAGATTTAAGTGCTGAATCTCCATTACCAGTAAATAATCAGCAAGATACAGGTTTTTGGGAAAAGGTTGTCAGGGTGGCTTTAAGCATATTTAATAAATTTATGGAATGGTTAAATTCCTAATTTTATCAAATAAAATTATTTAAATTTAGTTGTTATGCTAATACTTGATAGAGAACTAGTAAAGTATTAAAACTTTGAGTGAGAGTACAACATATTTTAATTTCAAGATTATTTAAGCTCAACAGATTCCCATCTATTTTTCAAATAAGACATCCAATATAAAAATAACTACTACTTATTTCAATTTCTGATGTATATCATTAAATGTTAAATTTAAGGGATTATATTCTCGCTGTTGTATCAAATAACTTAAATTCATTTCTTCTGGTGATTCGCCTAACTCAGGGGGTAGATAAACATCACTTTCCGAAAATGTAACATTACTTAAGATACCTTTAATAAATGTAGGTTTCTTATATGTCGTACTGAAATATGCAGTGTCTATAACACACTTATCCACAAGACTTTTCGATTTAATATCATTTGGTAATACTTTACCATCCAAAGCATTGGCCAGAATTTGATATGCACTTTTAAAATCATATTTGTCTGTGGACACTAATGGGGGTTTATCTTCGAAATCTGCTATTAATCGCAAAGCAGTGGCAGTGTCTGTTTGCAGCTCTTCAAAACTGCGACTATCTGAAAGTGCTGAAGCCCAGTTTGTTAATGGAGCAGTAGATTTACTTGCTATACGCCGGTTTCGTTTCCTGATAACTTCAGGATTTTGTAAGGCTTTTGATTTGTAGTATTCAATGGCTTGCTCAATTTCTTTTCTACTTTTAGTCGAAATATAATAATCAATTTGTTCAATATCGGAACCAAATTCTTGAAGAGCCCGTAAGAGTTCGAACTTCTCGCTCCTTGTCCAATTTTTCAGATTCTCAGCTTTAGGATTTGTTCGTTTACTCATGTTAATATAAACAAATAAATCAGTACCTAAATATCGAATATCAATAACACTCTCTTATGATTTAGTTTGACAACTTAACATTATCCTGATTATCACGGATTCCACAGATGAAATAAAGCCCGTATAGTATTTGTAACACAGATTACTTATTAGTTTGTACGTATATTGCGACACAATACCAGAGTATATTTACTCTTGCAATAATTCTATATCAGGATTCTTAAAAAGATAATGGTATAATATTAGATTATACACTTACTTACCTTTAAACTTACATACAATTTTAAATAGTATACCTACAGTGGATAATTGCGTAAAAGAATAATTACACCATCTACCTAAGAAGATGAAACTTATTTATGAATATTGTAAAATGCTCTAAGAATCTTTTCTAACCTTTATTTATCGATGGCTTAATTTTTTTTATTAGTATTAGTTAGATTATGAATTTATTAACGCTTTTATTTACCTATAGGATCTTTATATTTCGATCACATACCGTTCAAAGCAGTAATAAAAAAATAATTGTTGTTACTAATTGTTATACTATATATTTATTGTAAATGACTTTAAAGCGCTAAACGAAATAAAATGTTAAATGTGTCCCTTACTTGAGACATGGGGCAGAAATGTCTATTGCACTCGCGGCCTTCGACTTATGTTCCCGCGAAATTTTAACCCAAAAGCGCGCTAGTAGCACGACACTTTTTCAAAGACAAACAAAGACTTCTCAGTAGCGGCACGCAAGACGGCAAGACAGACCAGAAATAGTGATAGACATCGAATATATAAGATTTTCCAAAAAATACACCTTATATCAGATTATTATTAGATATCAGGTTAAATACTGTCTATAGTTTACGCGAGTAGTACACATTTAAATAAAACACTTTCACGGTTTAAAACGCGATATATTAGTTGTCACTGTTATTTGCCACAGCCGTGGCGGGGAGTCTCCCGTTGACTACGGCTGCTGCAAAGCATCCGAAACGTCGGGCCGAAGTTAAAAATCATTTTCAAATAAGTTTAACTAATATATCGCGTTTTAAACCGTTAAAGTGTTTTATTTAAATATACTAGTGGAAGATTAAATAAACGGAAATAATTACTAATGAATTTCCCACTTCTGTTCTTTTCATTAAACCTGCCTTCATGTCTACATACCTTTTTTTATGATGAGGACAGACATGGGGTGAAGTTTACAAATATATTTAACCAAAAGTTCTGAACTATTGCTTAAATACCAAAGCAGGTAGTATTAAAAATGCTAAATTTTAAAATGTAATATTGTAATAACCATATACATTATTTTATAGCTTTTTACATTAATCAGGAGCGAATATCATTTTTCTTTCACTTTAATAAAAACATGTATCAATATTACCAGCGCTGTAGATTTTATAAATGTCCAGAACTCAACAGCTAACACGTGTGATGACTAAATACAAATATTTAGATCACATTTCATATAAACATGTAACAACATGTAGCTTTAAAAATGTACTTCCAGAACACATCAATTGTTGCTTTACATTATACATAAATAAGTATACCAAGAGTAGCTTTACATGTTGTGCTTTGCAGGAGTGCATGAAAATGACATTCAACGTCCCAAATATAAAACAATATAGTCATTGTCTACTAAAAAAGAGTTAACTAATATTTACAAAAGTAATCTACTATACAAGTTATTAAATTAAGAATAATTTAATAGTGAAAAATTTTGAATCTAACATTCATTCTTCTTAAACTTTTTAATAGTTTCAGTCATTATATCTTCTAGTTTATTATTGATTCTTCTTGTCTTAAGAAATGAATTGTCACTATCACTAACACTTTGTCGAACACAGTTCATGTTGGAAACATTTTGATTATGTACACTATGCTTTTTATCACCGATAGTTTTACTTTTATTTACTATTAACGCGTTTATGTCATTGCTAGGGTGAAGTTTGATAGGTATAATTAATTGATTTTCATTGTCTCCTTTCTTAATAAAGTCTTGCTTTATTTGCATCACAGATCTATTTTCTGAGTCACTTGAAAGTCTTATCGTCTTTCTTAAATGAATCGTTTCTGTGGAGTCAGCAAAATTTCTCTTCACTAATAATTCTCCTGTTGGCATTTGCTTTACAAAAGTGAGTGTTGCTCCATCAGTACTCCTTAAGTCACATTTTTGTTCTTTACTTGAACTGCTTTTTTCACTTCCTGAACCATCGTCAGCATGATCTTCAGTTTCAATTAATTTTCCTGTAAAAAATCAGTAATGTAGCAATATTTTTTACAAGTTGTTTGAAGTAAAATTACACAAGAAAACTTTTTAATTTTTATTTACCATTTAATGTGGGGAATGTAATATCAGGTAGGTTTAAATGCGAATCTGGATTATATGTATTCATTAATGATTTCAATAAATTCGAGATTTCTTCACGCTTCCTTGTGACAACAATTTCATCAAACCAATTGGTCAATTGTTTTATAGGCAAACTGTAGTCTAGCACCGGATCCTAAAAACGATAATGATTATTTTATCTTCTTAGGCTAGCCTTATAAACCTAAACTCAAATAGGATTTTTACCTTAAAAAATTGTTCAACATATTGTAGTAAGTATAATCCACAATCTGTAAAATTATTCTGTTGTGGGATTTTTGGACAACTTCCTTTAATATTATCTTTATTAAACACTTTATTTTTTGATACCTGAAACAAAAGTTACGGTTTTTACTTGTCGTCATTTAGACAAAAGTAACAATAATAATTTAAATAATATTTCACACCTTTGCTTGATATTCACAGGTTAGGTAATCCCGCAATGTGGCTACAACTCTTGATCTTGATGTACCCGCCAGTGAGTCAAATATTAAAATACATGGCCTGAAAAGAAGGAAATACATATTAATAAAAAACAATAATTAAATATTATGTAAAAGATTCACGACATGTCCAATTCTTAAATTAGAAAACACCTGTTAACCTTAAAATAAAATGAAGTATTATTCACATCAAATTGAAACTTTTTTCTACAATTTATCTCTATGATAGTCCGTCTACTTGGACTATTATAGAAATATAATATTGTAATGCATGCAATCTTTATTGAGGTTTACAGATTACACAAGCCTATTGTCAGTATGGTCATTGTGGTGTGGTAGAATCATTACTCTGTTACAAGAGAGCAAGAAATATTAAGGGACTTACTGCTTAACTGGTTCAATTTTTCTAACAACAGGGACTTCTGGTTTTTTTTCAACAAGCTTCTCGGCTTCCTCTTCTTCAGAATCGCATTGCATATCCAAGTCGCTTTCCTGAGGTAAACATTTATGTATAATTATTAAAGATTTCAGACTTTTGTTCATAATCATATAAGGTAAAAAATATTAACCTCAGCCTCTGCTTCATCACGCTCGCTCAAATTATCTGAATCACAATTTAAAGTAACCTGTTCTTGTTTAGTTAATGGAGTTATTGTTGTGCTACCTATTTGCATTGAAGATTTACGTTCTGAAAGAAGAAAAAAAACATTAGCTAGTTGTCAGAATTAAATAAGGGCACGGATTATAAGTAATAATAACATATTATTTACCTTTTCTTTTACTTGCTTGTATTGTTACGATTCTATTATCAATCATGCTTCGACAACCATCTAAACTTGGAAAACAAATAATAGCAACAAACCAATGGCAGTTTTCATTAATAGGAACTACGATGAAGTCTTTATCAAAGATATTGACATTTTTCGTCCAAGTTTTGACTCTTGCGTGACGTTTTTGTGCTGGCGTTAAACTATTATCCCACTCCATGGGATTGGAACTTCTATTAACCTTACTTGGTTTTGTAGTTAACCTTTTATAGAAGAATGTGCTAAAAATATGAGTCTTATCCCTTTGTCTATCTGTTAACACATCATGAACTAGGTGCTTTAGATAAAAATCAATGATGACATCATTTAAAAATTGATCTTGTGCCAAACACATATAATCTTCTGTATTTATAGGTATTCCACCTTTGCCTGGTGGATAAATAAGTATTTGTCTGATTTGCTCAGCTGTATTAATACTGAAAATATAAATGAGTTCATATTATACCAATAACTGTGAATTTATAAAATACTAAAATAGTCTTTAGGAAATGGTCATACCTCTTTCCACACGTAGCACTGGAAGCACTTGTAGATCTTGTAGTAACTTTTGTAACATTGTTACTCTCTTTTGGACAAGTCCGTACTAAAATATCATTAGCTTCTTTTGTGGAGAGATCAACCATGACTTTATCAAACAAACTAACAAAAGCAGCTCTTGTTTCTTCTGTTATTACATCGGGTAATAAAGTTATTCTTTTATATGCATCTACTTTTGAGGTAGGATTGTAATATAGACCTAAGAAATAAAATATAATTTCATATAAATAAAGCGAATCAAAAGCTAAACATGAGGAAAAGATACATTTCACTTAAAATGTTATTGAACCTAATACCAATATAATATACATATACAATAACAAAAAGGTTGGCTTTAAATAATCTAGAGTGTAAATACATACCTGATTCATCAACCATGTCCAAGCTTTTCCTTATATAAATACCACATTTACTTGTAGTGTACAAGAAAATTACAGGCAGGCCTTTGCCAAAGTGAACCAATAACCTTACTATTTCTTTAGAATGTATTTGTAGGGCAACTTCTTTGGATTCATTCTTTAATGACGGAGCAACAATTTTAATTCCACGGGGTGATATGATAATCTATAATACAAACACTTTTTTGAGCATTTATGCCTTGAAATTATAAAGACATTTAAAACACTATAGTTTGACCACCTAAAGACAAATTATGTAATAGTGCCAACTATGAATAGAGTGGGGTTTGAATTGCAAAGAAAACAATTAGTGTTTAGATCAGGTCAAACACAGACGCTTGACCAAACACAAGTCTACATACAAATCTATTATTGAAACAGCATGCCTGTGTACGATGGTATTGTAGTCTACCTCATAGAAAGAGATAAGACTTCAATTCTTATTATGCTTAAATACAAGCTGGTCACCCAGAAAGCACAATGTAAAAAAAAAAACTATTGAGATGGAAAAAGAAATAGAGCAATCATGGTTTGTGACTGGCTGTAGATATCACATATTAAGAGTCCATGTTTTAAAGGACTGTTTTGAGAGTTTAGCTCAAGTAAATAAACTAAATAATTAAATAAAAAATTTATTACTTAGTTATTTTGTCATAATCATTTAATTTGAGAACTGAATTTGACTTTATAGTTGTTGATCTGTCTTCAGTGCGTTCAGAGCAAAATAATTTTTAGTTAAGCCCGGACTTCTTGCCTCATACAATACAACAACAAATTTCACCATTGAGCAATATTATTATTAAAAACTATTTACCTTTTCTTTAGGTGTGTACCTATATGATCCGATTCGAATTGTCCTACATTTAAATGATGAGAGGATAGTAGACATACTTTGGCTAATCGCTTCCCGGCTTTCATCTATAACAAAGTAAAATATAAAATCACTTAATTAAGTATTCTACAAGTAATTACTTGTTTTCATTTGGTACATAAAATTATTGGTAAAAAGTTATTGTAACAAAACCACATGTTGTTTTTGGTTCATTGTCTGTCTTCTCTTTTTAAATGGTATTGAGTTGTGTCTTTTTAAGCTTGCCTAGTATGCAACAAATAGTCATGTTCTTTATAAACATTTGGAGCAAATAGGCCTGTTTACATTCAAATTATTATTAGATGGTATTAGGAAGAACTACTTATTTACAATTTCACTATCAACATAGGCATATACAATATTCGGTTATTGATCGACAACTGCGATGTAGATTGTTAAGATTTAGCTATATTACAAACAACTCAGTGAAATACCTTCTAAATTGTTAGGTTGATTTATAGACATCTTGCTATTAACAATGTGTTCACCGATATATATTTTACAATTTAACGAAACAAGTACTTCACACGCCGCACGCTGGTGAACTTCATAGACAACATATTGTCAACTGTCAAAGTCAATACATCTACTCAAGAGATTCCAGAGATCGATTATAAATCGATTACTACCAAAGGCAAAATACAGATTATACCACATAATCTGTATTTTGCCTTTAGTAGGACCAAAATAAGAAATTCCAGAGATCAGAAATAATATCATCATAATTTTTTTTATAATATTTTATGATTACCAGAATCATACTATTGTTGTTATTGCCCATAGGCTAAATCAACTAATGCCCAGTATTTTGCTTGTTCAAAGACAATCTGTGTATAATTTTAAGATTATAAAACAGTCAAACAATAATAATTCATTACGAAGAGAAGTCTAAAAATCGCTTTAACTTATATTTAGCAATATTAAAAGCATATGTTTGTAGTTATTTTTTTCTAGAAGAGAGAATCCTTTTCTGTATTGATGTCATGAGGTGGCAAACATTGGTTTACTAATGTCGACTGGAATATGTATTTTAAACAAATATTTTGTGATATTGAATGAAACGGGACATGGGACAATGGGAGACCATGTCGACGATCGTGCGACGACATACAGGCCATTTTCGACCCACCATAGGCGAAAACTGCCGAAAATGGGAAAGTATGAACAATGTGGAGGGGGCCTATGTTTGTAGTGATTTTTTTCTAGAAGAGAGAATCCTTTTCTGTATTGATGTCATGAGGTGGCAAACATTGGTTTACTAATGTCGACTGGAATATGTATTTTAAACAAATATTTTGTGATATTGAATGAAACGGGACATGGGACAATGGGAGACCATGTCGACGATCGTGCGACGACATACAGGCCATTTTCGACCCACCATAGGCGAAAACTGCCGAAAATGGGAAAGTATGAACAATGTGGAGGGGGCCTATACATTAGAGAGGGTTCCTAATGACCAATGATCTTAAAATAATATTGTACCTATATAATACCAGTTTTGAACAAGATTAAATTAAAAAATATACATAATAGTAATTTACATAGAAAATTAAGATTTCCTTATTTTATTTTGTTGATTTAAAATGGATTGTAGCTAATTCTACCTAAAAATTACAAATGACTAGAAGAAAATGTTTGACTTACCATTCATATCATAGCTGATACTGCTATCAGAAGTACCACCTTCAATTTCAAGTAGGGAAGGCTCTTTAGTATGCATTTGCTGTTCTATCTAAAAAGGAACGAAAAAGATGATACTAATATACTAAATATCATTAACATATTATATTTAATTTTAAATGACTAAAATAACAAAAACTTCTTGGAGAAGCTTATTTTAACCTAAATCGATATTTAAATACTTCAACATGTTTGCAATTTGAAGCAACTTGAACAAACAAGAAGAAAAACCACTTGTTAAGGGAGTAGAACCAACGAGAAGAAACTCGGCGCAACTCCTTTTATCGCCAAGTTTCCTTTTAGTCATTGTAGTGAAGAATTTGATATTTGAAGTAACAAATTACTTTAAAATTATGATGCAGGTCTTACCTGATTACTCAACATAGAGCTGTTGGAATCTTCTTCATCTGAACTCAAAGTTAATATAACTGGTTCAGGATCTGGTTGCTTTCCTCTAGGTTTTCTTACTCTAGCTGGTTTCTTTTCCTGAACAATCTGTTGAGAAAAAGGATTTCTAAGAATTAATAATACCTCTTTTTATTATTTATACAGAAGCAGTTTAGATTTGTGCTAGCTATTAAGTTTTAACTAAACTCTTGTAACTTACCGCTTTGTTATTTAAGTTTTTTGCGTTATGTTTAAGTAGATTTAGTTTAATGGTATCCCCGCACGAACTGCAAAAGATATTTACAATTTACTATTGATTGTATCGACTAATACGTCAAATTAAGGAGTAAGTCAGATATTTACGCTTGTTTTTCTAATGAGGTCTTCTCAATTTCCTTTTTCTTCTGTTCCATATTTTTACTTGCTATCGGTACGCTTTTAGGTTCCTCTGTGAAGACACGTTTACACCTGCGATATAAAAATATATAAGTTACCTTCTCATAACAAAGCTGATACAGTAATAGATAATGAGTTATAATTGATTGGAACTGCTTCTGGTTTAATGATGAGTATTCTTCATGGGTTCTCTCACATCCCCGCACTGGGTCTACGCTACAAGTTATTAATATATTTTCAAAAAGTTACCTCTGGCAGCGATTAAAGTCAAAACCACTATATCCACAGGATTTACACACAGCCAACTTTCCATCCACGTAGCGGGGTTGAGGGGATTTAGGGGACTCCGGACTACTTGCTGTAAAAATACCACTCCATAAAAAAAATGTTTGAAACTTGTTGCTGATTCATAGATGATATTATATCATTTCTGATCATTCATAAATGCACGGAAATAAATAGTAACAATCAACGGGTCGTAGGTTCGATCTCCATTGGGATGGATTTTTCTAAAACATGGCTTTCTTCTGGACATATGGATATTAGGTGGTAGTAATATCGAAATTCCGTGTGGTTCACCGTCTGCAGATGAAAAAGCCGTGAAGTTTATTCGCATTCCGGATTCGATCAGTGTGGATTTCTGAATTCTCTTTCTTGTTTTGATATTATTTGGGGGTATTTTACCTAACATCAAGTACACCCCGTGCTTGTCTGTCCTCCTCTATCATAAAAAAGCCTGCAGGGTAAGCAAATGCTTTGTGTGCCAATAAAACGTGACAAGATATATCAAATACGTACAATTATCAGGACAAGGTAATTTCTCTGGCGTCGACATTTCACTACTTTGAGATTGCGTCACTACACTGGGAGAATTTCTACTTGACAGATCGCCAACCAACATCTGAAATAGCAACGAAGTTAGTCACAACTAGTTTCTTTCGATTAATTTTATTTAAAAATACAGTGAAAATTGTTGAATAAATATTGCCATATATATTATATCACTGTTTTACTAAATTGAATTTGTTGTTATTGAAATTAAATGTTTTTTGTTATGGTAGTGGACATTATTACACTTACAGGATGATTCTCTAACATTTCTTCTATTCTTGTGGTAGAGCCTACCGACACGAAGTAATCAATTTCGCTTGCGGTATTTTGCATACACTGTATATGAGTATCTTCCGTAAATGGAACATTAACCTGAAAAAAAAAATATTTTTAATAGGAATCTTCAAAAGACTATTTTCAAAAATCCAATATAATATGATAGCAGAATACACAAGTGTATAATTGCTTTATTTATTTCCATTGCATAGGATAATACATTTTAACAGTATATGTATTATAAAATTGATTTTAATGAATTTCGGAAAACAGATAGCTGACGTACATCACAAATTAGAGGATAGTTAATGGATTATCTAAAAATTTAGACAGAGATTATTAATAACCAAAAAAGATTTAGTTAAGATCTTATGGATATTATTATTTAATTGAAAGTTTATTGTTTATTTTAAAACATTATACCTGTTCTAATACTTCTTGCAAAGTACAACTCTCTTTAGGCAGAGTAAAAGTAATAAGCCTCTGTTCCCCATTCTGAAGAAAAATCAACATTTTAGCTGATTGAGGTTCCGCCGCTTGCTCTGAAGGTCCACTTGTCGCTTCGTTGATTTCTGAAAGAGAAAGCATTCTTATATGATAGAATTCATAAAGAAAAGAAACAAAACCATAATTGTCAATGAAACTTTATAGCAGTGAGAAAAATGGTTCTTGATTATGGTACTTTGAGATTAATGAGAAAGTATGCTCTATTTGATCTTACCAGAATGTGGGGCTGTTGGCTGCGTTTGCATCGGATGAACTCTTTGCACGGGCCTAGGTTGTTCTTTGCTCTTCACTAGCGTCTGCCTCGCAGTTTCCCTAAAAAATAGGGAAAAGACAACATAAATTTGGAGGTTCAATATGGTTCACTAATAAACTTGTATATGTCGCATTTCAAATTGTAATACGCGTTTTCTTTAATGAAATAAAATTTGTTTAATAGAGTTAATTATTATTTTTCCGATATTGAGGGTAGTCGTAAATCAAACCTATTTGATAATTACATATTGTTTTAATGACAGAGGAAAGAAGATATCTCCCCATGTATAATCTAAAAAAACTAAAAAAATAAATATTTTTGGCTTTGAATATTCAGAAACTCATGAACTGACTTTTTTATCTGTATGGGTTGTCCCTGAATCGAAATTTTCAGTATTCCTACCAGGGATGTTACAAAGCTTCGCCTCCGGTTCCGTTAAGTCGGAACTTGCGATTATCATTACACCCTCGGTTCCGACTCTTTTAAATCAAAGGTTTTAATCGGAGGTCGAAGCATAACATCGCGGCAGCGTGTCGGACTGTATCGACCTTTTATGAACATGTCACGCGGGGAATCCCCCCTGACTTCAAGTAGGTGCACTTTTTACGTGTAATATTAGTCGTCATATCAGGCTCAGTAGCCAGCGAACAACTTTTTATTGGCGCTGGCCTAATTTACGACTCGTTAAGAAATAGATTGGACGGAGACAAGTTTGAAAGCTTTTTGTCTGTAGAGTGTAATACTACTTAACTAAAGCTTTTGTTCATTTAATATAACGTAATATGCTACTTTCTTGAGTTTAGGTTTAAATTCAAATATTTTAAATTCTTGTATATAAATAAGTTTTTTTATTGTTTGTGTTTTATTTTACAATTGAAAATTAAAATTTAAAAAAAATTGACTAAATAATTATTTGCCCTTAAATAAAAATTATCTCTCATGCCACTACTTCTGAAACTCCGACTCCGGTTCCGGCTTCGATAAAGCAATTTAAAAATCGAAAAAAAATTGAAAAAAAATTCGACTCGGGCAGGACTTGAACCGGCATCGTCAGCCTTCCGTGCTGTTGCTCTTCGATAAAGCAATGTTAAAAACTCCGACCCCGGCTTCGATTCCGATAAAATACCTCTATTACATCCCTGACTCCTACCACTCATATAATTTCCACATTTCCAGACAGATTCCAACATAATTCTAGAAAAATTATGCATTAATTGATAACATGTTGGACCTGGTAGGTTGATATTACCCAAAGGAGCCCGTCTTATATCATCTAAATGTTATTTTTAAAAATGTTTTACATTAAGGTAAATTGCAGAAGGTTAATTATTTAAAAAAAGTGTGTGTGAGACAGAGTAAGAAACCAAAGTTACCTTGGCTGCTGCTGTATTTGTTGTAAATGATGTTGTGACATAACACGCGATGATTGCAAACGCCTATAATCGGCTATCGTTATCCTTTGTCCGTTGGATAGTGTAAGTAATTGTCTTTCTTCATCCGGACCCTCATGCTCCATCATTACTTGGCCGATCTGTTGTTGTTGGGGCGACTGGTGGTGTTGCGCCTGTGGTACGTGAGAATTTTCGAATCTTAACACGTTGTCTTGTTGTTGAAATTGAGGAGTATAATTTATTTGGTGTTGTCCAGCTCCACTGGCAATGGCGGCTTGAGTTACTACAGTATGTCCCTGTCTTACAGGCGAGGCGGAATGGAACTGCTGCGACGTATTCGCGCTATCTGTGACAATGTTTTTCTGAACAATCGCAGCGGTAATACTTTCTTCGAGATCGTCCATGACATTCGCGTTGCTTGTTTGCACGACAACTTTTTTTATTTGTTGCATCTGCGGCGCTGAGGTATGTTGTTGTTGTATGTTACTATTCTGTTGTTGTAGGGGGCCACTATTTTGATTTACTTGATGGGGAAGAGACGATTGGTTTAGACACTGCGTGACGATAGTTCCTTGAGGGGTTATGATGCGCGCGGCTTGACCGTGCGATTGGCTTTGATTAAGAATGATTTGTTGTTGCTAAAATAAATAAAATTTGTGAATTAGCCTTAATTAAAAGTTAAAGAAAATACAAACTGTAATACTTACTTGTTGGGTTAATTTCAACTGATTTAATTGTTGTTGTTGCACTTGCTGTCCCAAAAGATGTTGCGCCAACTGATGTTGTTGCTGTTGCTGCTGTTGTTGCTAATTTTATACGTAAAAAGATTAGTTTCTTATATGGAATTTGTTTATATAACGAGATTTGAAGGTAACACTTACTTGTAATAATGGGGTTCGTGGTCGAGGTGGCCTATGTTGTGCATGGTTTGCATGCGAGTTAAGCACTCGCGGAGACCCTGGCCGAGGAGTACGTGCTCGCCCTGTACTGGGACTCATTGTTCCCCGACCGACCCCACTCCCCGCTCCAGACACAGTCGGAACCTGCCCTTGCTGTAAACACAGTGACAAATAAGTTAAAACTTCGAAAATGATTTGCACATCCACAAGTATTAACAAGCAAAACAAATTACTGTATTAAATTGTTTTATGTAAATCTTTCATAATGTCTATAATATTAGTTTCGACACGTCTGTCTTGCTAGTAGTAGTCATGCATTTTGTATTGTCTTTATAAAACAATGTATGCATATCCCAAACGTTTGGGTTCGTTGGTTGTTGTGGTACCTGTTGTAATATTTGTGGATTGAGAAGGCGAGCCGGCACTTGTAAAGGTGAAGCGTTTAAGGGATTGCGCACTGCTGGAGTTCTCCGTGGCCTAACAGTCCTCACTGGCGTACGTACTAACGTCACTGCATTATTGCTTAGCGCTTGGTTTAGCAATCGTTGCGGAGGAGGTCGCGTTGGTGTACCCTAAAATGCAAACAATAGTAAATTTTTATTGTAATTACTAATCACATTTGTATTCTAAAACCTATTATCGTTACACGAAACTTATATATATACTTTTTTATAATATAATAATAGTTAACCCCTCCCTCTGCACTTTGGTTAATGTCAACACTGACTAGAGTATGTGTTGAGTACGCTGAATAATGTGATGTCCAGTATCTTGTAGATTCAACAAAATGTGTCTATTCCAATCATTTGATTCACCTTACTCTACTAGACTGACAGTCACATATATTACACAAGCCATATGCTTAACAATTGTTATTTTGTAAAATGTAAGGAAATTTAATCAATTCTTTTAAGCTTAGTGATTGCTAAATAATAATGTTCTAAGCAACAAGGAACTTAAGAAGTTAATGGGTAAACAAATAGAGCAAAACTAAAACATAAGCATTACATTACATTAAAAAAAAATTGTTAATTTTCTTACAGCCTGATTTATATATGCAGTTTGCATAACAACTTGTTGATGCTGGATTTGTTGAGATTGCATGTGTTGCTGATGTTGCGTTGGGTGTTGTTGCTGCTGCAATTGATGTTGCAGCTGTTGCTGTTGTTGCAGCTGTTGTTGTTGCAACTGCTGAAACTGGATTTGATGATGTTGAAGTTGCTGAAGTAGTTGGGGCGAGGCACGAGACATCTGTTGCTGTTGTTGTTGCGGTGATTGCTGAATAAAATTGAATATATTTAGAATTTTAATAACGGTTGTTTTCTGTTTCCATAATTGAGGACAGACTTATTGAGTTACTGAGTCCTTTTAACAAAGCGATATGATTTTATCATCATCAGGAGAAAGCATAAAAACTTACATTCTGGGTGCCATGTTGAGATTGAGCTTGAGGAGGTTGTGGCGGCGGCGGGGGTGGCGGTTGAGGTGGGGGCTGCTGGCTCGGATGTAGCACCGTTGGGGACGGAAGCACATGTACTGGATTCACCAGCTGAATTAAAAATATGAATTACATTAACTTTTACAATTTTTAGTAGTAGTGTTCTGTGTAGGGTTGATTGTGCTATATAGTTAAGGTTTAAAATATTTGTGAAAATATGTAACTAACAATAATTAGAAAAGAACATCTTATATAAAATTCTTAAACATATTTTTTTACCATGAGAGCATGCATTTAGTACTATTTGGCTATTTATTGTGTGTTGTAGCTAGTAACAATTCAGTAAAAATAATGAAAGTATTACTGACATAACTCAATTGAACACTTTTTCTACACAATATAAGAAATAGTAAAAAAAAGTACAAAAAAAGTTTAGCTAAGATCTAAAAAAAAATTTTTGACAAAAGAGGACAGACAATTGTAGTGTCATTTGAATGAAGGTTATGTCTCCGCCATAGATCTACAAGATACCCTGCCAACCACACACTCTGTAATTTGGCTTTGGATATTCTGAAATCCATATAATATAAGCCAAACACGGTTGTTAGGATTATTAGCCATACATTGATAGACCAAAAGGCATGAGTAGTTAAAAATATTAAATAGTTTTCCTGTTTACTAAAAATGGACAATCATAATTAACACACAAAACAATACAATACAACATTGATACAGACTGAACAAAAAATGTTTGCCTACCCATATGAACCGAATAGAAACGTATCACTTACTAATCACAATAACTGAAGCTGACATGAACTTGCATCAAAAAGGTCACAATAAAGCTTACTAAGAAAAGGTTTCACTAATAAGAAACATACTGTTTACTTTATATTTAGCTTAGCTTCTTATGTATTAATTGTTTGCCGAAACCCAGTATATATTTATTCTTAACATATAAATAGATATGTTAAACCTCATTTAGAGATTTCCTAAGTAAAGAAAAGCATGTTAAGAAAACAGAGAAAATATTGTTTTAGTAACTAGGAGTGCACCTTACTACACATGCCATTAGAAAAGACAGTAGGCATGTATATCTAATAGCCAAAATATATGTACACTTAACAGCTATGTATAAGTTTGGTCAACAAACATACATGTGAACGCTGTGTAGATGGCTGTTGCATCAGTGATGCATCAATAATTTGTGGGGCTTGTTGCAAGACAACTTGTGCATCCACAGGTAAATCAGATGTGTAGTACACCTATAAATAAATACTCCTTACAGATAGTACACCGTCTTGTGTCATGGTATAACTAGTCAGGCAAAGTAATTTAGTTTATTCTAGAATTTTTAGTACATATAAATTAAAATTTTAGTTCACACTTAGAATGACACTCAAAGGAATCAATTGATGAATAAGGAACTAAGTAGGGGGTTACCATTTTAATAAGGGTTTTTTGTTATGTTTGGGTAGAATTTTTTACTTACTTGATGTCGAAGTAGTGTTTGCTGTTGTTGAGATTGCTGCTGTTGTTGCTGTTGAAAATCAGAGCGATTTTGTGCTGGCGGTGGGGGTTGAGGTTGGTCATGACGAATAATATACTGTTGCTGGTATTGTAAGCCGTTGTCTCCAACAACTAGTTGTGGTTGAACTTGAACACCTTCACTAACTATGATGTCGTTTGGTTGATCAGCTTGCTGGACAACTACCTATGAAACAATATTCAATTAATTATTCATTTGAATAAAATCATATGCACTAGTAATGAGACAAGTATATCATAAACTTATTGAAATTAAAAGGAGGTAGTTGTGTCATTTAACTTTGATGCATCAAATTTTTTAACATAAAGCAAAGTGATCAATGGATGGAATTTGTACTTGGTACATTGAATTGGTACTGTTGAATTTAAATACTTCCAAAAGACTGTGTGAAATATACTGCATACTACATTTTACTGCATACACACAATAGGTACACATCCTACACCATATATGTTATTATAAATCAAGATATATATTTGTTAACATACTTGCTGTTGTGCATATTGCTGATCATCTTGGTTAACTACTATTCTGCCATCTAAACATATATTTGGACAGTATCTTTGTAATTCCTCTAGAGTCAATGGATGTCCTTGTCCCACAGCTATTTGATAGTATTGAGCCATGACAATTAATTAACCTGAAAGTATAACTTTAACCCAATACAAAAAATATAGTTCTATAGGGATCTTTCCCATTTTTTACTATAAATTTACGCATAAACAATAATAAACATTGACTGGAATATTATATATTAAAATTATTTCTATAATTTGTTAACGATTGTATAGAAAGTCATTACTACGAGCTGAAAAACATTTAAGATTTGTAAGGTTTTGCAAGAAACTGTTCCTTTGACAGTTCCTTCACAAACGGTACACCCAGAATCTACGTACAACAACAGCAGATTGACTCCGTGGACGATATTAAGACTTAGCAATGGTGATTAAGTAATTATTACAGGGGATTCAAGTGTTCACAGTGTTAAATCATAAAAAAAACATATTTTAATAAATCACTCGTCACACAATTTAAAACACAGCTTTAAAAAATTACACTGACGATGAAATTGAATGGCTCCGATTCTTTGGGTGCAACCTAAATAACAGTCTTCTATGCAACATTTTATCACTAACTACAGTTGAACGGTTTATTGTTCCTTACCAGAATTAACTAAGGACATTTTTAATGCCGTATTTCTACTTTACAGGATAGTTTTTAGCATTAACAAGTAAAAAAATTAACTCAAACGCCAAACCTAGAACAAATTACATTATGGCGTGTGTGTCACTTTAGTCTTTACTACTATTTTTTTTTCATGAAATTCTTACCAGATGTAAAAATCTCTTTTATGGAGGCATAAAACCACAGAATGAATATCAAAAACGATTTTAAATAAGAATAACTTTTGGTTTCAGAATAACATTAATCGGTGGGATAGGATCATAGGGCATAGATAATAAATATATAAATCCACAGATGTATATAGACAGCTATTCCTTCTGAATTGTGTGTAATATATTGTAACCGTCTTATCAAATTCCTTGGGGGTAAGAAATTTTTCTATGGCATGGCAAATAAAAGTACACAAAATGTTCACAATTTTAAAATTGAATATATTTTATACAAGATTTCCACCCTAGACTTCATCTGCATGGAAAAATATGTTTTGTTGGCATTCTATTTTTCCAATTATTTTAGCTTAATATATTTTCTTTTACATAAACATTTGATAAATACCTACATCATATTTTTTTTGTTTCGAAACATTTTTACTCTATATATTACGTTCTAAGATTATATTACACATCCCTTTTTTAATTTTTTAGAAAGTAAATTAATTTTAGTTCATAATAATGATTAGTACTTAGTTTTAATAGTCATATGGAGGTGGGCATTGGCTCCAGTGTTTAGCTGCAAAGCTACAGGCGCCAACGAAATCATTTATTCTGTAAATAGGTTTTTAAAGATAAAAAGCTTTTTTTATTTATTAATTTTAATATAGAAAATATTGTTTTTATCGCATAAGTATTAAGTTATTCTATTCTGACTTCGATATAGAAATAGCTATTTATTCCACTAGTGTCCTGATTTAAACGACACAAAGCATTTATTGGTTTCAACTAACGGTTGAACTAACCCAAGAAGTGGTTTGATGTTAAATGAAATATACTATTTAAAGAAATATAAGAATTTGAACGACGGAGCGGAGTGACTATTTTATAAATATAAGCTATCAGCATAATTAATGCATCAAAACAGTACCAATCTCACTTATTTTTATTTCGATTTAAAGTAACGTAAGTTTTGGTAATCGATTTTTGTTGTAAATTAATTTTCAATGATAATCGTAATTATTATCAATAGGTATATAACAAATATTGTATTTTCTTTGCGTTCCTACTTTTGTGATTCAATATAATAAACGTCAATGTCAGTTAATTCTTCAATCGATTATAAAACAAATTAAAATCGATTCTTCTATAAAATAAAAAAATACGTTATCCATTATGCACATCACTATTTGAAATTAATATTTTCGTGATAATTTCTAATTCTTGCAACCAGCCATCTGCAGATTTGCAAAAGTTGCTTTTTAGTTTGTATAATATTTAAATTTAATATATCGTATTACTTTACTTGGAAATTTCTATTACGAAGTGCTACAATTTATTTCATATTCACTTGGTGCTATTCTCCATATTACATTTTTAGCAAGAGGTCCTTGTTGATCATTTATGACATTTTGTTACAATATAACATAGTGCTGTGCAAATGGATGATACAGTGCTTTCGCCTGGTAGGTAAAATTTACATGAATAATTTTTCTATCACGTTGCAAGTATTAAAAACGAAGTACTTTTAGGGAATAAGATGGGGGATTCCGCATCGGAAAGTGACTCGAGCTCACTAGACGGCGCAGCTATGCTTCCTCCTAGCACAGCATCGAGAGACCAGCTGCAAAAACGAATTGAGTCCTTGCAGCAACAAAATAGGTATAATATTATATATCTATATAAATCAAACTATGCAAGTGTAAAAATTAAAAAATATATATATTGAAAATAAAAATTAAGCATATGCTAACTTTAACAATTTGCAATTTGAATTCTCTTTTTTAGAGTGCTTAAGGTAGAACTTGATACTTACAAATTAAGAGTAAAAGCTCTACAAGAAGAAAATCGAGCATTATGGCAAGCTTCTGTATCAATTGTGAGTATTCATGTGTTGTTGCATTTTTTTCTTATTTTTAAGCTAGAATCCCCTGCGAAGGAAGTAGTGAATAATAATAATAAATAATTTTCTTATTTGAATCCAATCCACTGTGAATATCTAGAGCCATCTGGTCAGTGATTTACACAGTTTGTTGTTTTACAGATAAGTGTGGTAATAAATCAATACAGTTATACAATTTTTCAAAATACAAATGTTTTTATGGAGATTGGATCTTAGTGGGTGCAGCTAATTCCTTGAGCAGTAATGTGGCTGTGTGCTATTTTAATTGTTCTAAATTGGTCATAACTGTTACACATTAACTCTTTATAGGTCTCATTGCTTGTATAATGATGCTAGTAAGACATTTTGTGATGTAATCCCGACTATGTACTTATGGCTGGCACTTAATATAACTTGTTAATTTTTATATTGTGTGTCTTATGTCATTACATCTATTTTTTTTCAACAGCAAGTAAAAGCAGAACAGGAAAAAGAGTATATTTCCAATACATTATTAAAAAAAATTCAAGCCTTAAAGAAGGAGAAAGAGTCTCTTGTAGATATGTACGACAGGGAAGAAGAATGTCTAACAAATGATCTTTCTAGGAAATTGAATCAGGTATCTACTATAAACATGTATATAGCAAAGTAACATTTCAATAAAATAATGTTAACGCTTAAAAACACGAAGGTTACGTCGAGCCGTAATTACCCCCATGTCCACAGCTCCTGCAAATCATCTGAAACATCAGCCCATAGCTTAAATAAATTGGAAATAAGTTTACTAATAGCTATTATGTTAAAATCGTTAAAAAGTATTTTATTTAAAAGCACAATGCATTTGATTATATTTCATGTTTTTGGTATAACATGTAAAATTACAAGATTAAATTTAATATCTAATTAAAGCTTCACATTTGAATTTAACCTCTTAACATTATTTTTCTTAATTATTTAGCTTCAGGGCCTATAGACCTCTTATATGTTTCTAAGTGGAATACATTTTTCAGTTGCGACAAGAAAAATGCCGTTTAGAGCAAACTTTGGAACAGGAGCAAGAATGTCTGGTTAACAAATTAATGAGGAAAATTGAAAAACTTGAAGCGGAAACACTCGCTAAACAAACCAATTTAGAGACCCTTAGAAGAGAAAAGGTATGTTAATTTTAATTCTTCTCTCTTATAAACTTTAAAGGATCTGTTAAATATGCATTAGATAAATTCTTTTAGATGTCCTTTGTGACTTATATGCTCTATGTCACCATTTTACTTATCTAGGTATTTAAAGACAAATATGTGTCATATATTTGTGTCAATTAAAATTTTTGTTGAGGGTTTATGTTTTAAACGTATCTGTCATTGTATTGTGCTTAACCAATTGCAAGGATTGCAACTATACTTACATTTAATTTTGTTGAAACAAATTATGGAGCATTAAAGCAATTATCGAGTGTGATGATTTATTTTTGTATTCCCTTAATTCAGGTTGAATTGGAAAATACATTAGAACAAGAGCAAGAAGCCCTCGTGAATCGATTGTGGAAGAGAATGGATAAGCTTGAAGCTGAAAAGCGTTCCCTACAAATTCGACTAGATCAGCCAGTTTCGGATCCTGAAAGTCCTAGGTAATGTAAAGCTTTATTTACCCTATAATCTCAAATACGTCATATCATTCATATTGTAACCTAGTTGAGATACCATTTCTAGTTGAAAGCAAGAAATTAAAGTAACATGTATATTTATTTTTATTAGGGATATTAGCAATGGAGACACAGCATCAAATCTTAGTAATCATATTCAAACATTGCGGTCAGAAGTTGTTAAATTAAGGTAAGTTTTATCGGAGTGACATACACATTACTTTTAAGTTATTGGTGAGAACCTACTTATAACTTACTGGCTTTGCACAGCAGCAATCCTCGCATGTATAATTGCATAAATGCAGTAGGTTTGAATCCCAGAGATATACTGTCTATAATTTATGCGAGTAGTAGACATTTAAATAAGACACAATACATTTGATTATATTTCATGTTTTTGTTATAACATGTAAAATTACAAGATTTAATTTTGATATCAATAAAAGCTTCATATCCAATCTATAAATCATTTTTAATTACTAATATATCGCGTTTTAAACCGTTAAAGTATTTTTTTAAATCCCAGGGATATATTATTTAAATCAACAAACAAATGAATAATGATTATATGATAAATGGTTTTGGTTGTGACATAGAAGTATCTATGCTCCATCTACAACTAACGGGAGCGAGAAAAATATGCTATTTAATATTTATAAATAAGTGCCTATATTTCGCGATTTCTGTAAATTCAATTCTAATAACTTATTAGGTTCTTACTATCTATATTATAATTATCTTGTTTAATTTTATTTTAACAGGAATCAATTAACGGTATCTCAAAATGAAAATAAAGAGAAGGTGCAACGCTTTGCCTTAGAGGAGAAACATATCCGTGAAGAGAATGTTCGCTTGCATCGAAAACTGCAGCAAGAGGTTTGTTTTTAATTTCCTTTAAGTAATCTATATATTATGATAATATTATGTTAAATTGTATTTATGTATGGCCATTTGGCTACATGCCACGGCTGTGTGCCACGGAAGGTCGAAATTATATGAATATGGGGAAAACATTGTATGGACATATCAAATGTATTTTTCCTAAGCTTATTGGAAGTGAAACAGTTTTTGAATCGGAAATACGCCACCACGTTGTCTAACAAAATTTTGAGCCGCTCTAACAAAAGCAGATGTTTAATACGTCAGCGTTCCGTGCTGTTGCTCTGCTGACGCTGACGATGCCGGTTCGAAGTCCTGCCCGAGTCGAGTTTTTTCAATTTATTGTCGATTTTTAAATTATATAGTGCCTTCATGTGCAATAACATGTAAAAAATAATAAACTTTTCAAACGTCTAAAGTTATTGTTAGCAGCACAGAAATCTTATTTCATAAGTCGAAGACATTTATACTCAATACTATTAACTACTTACTTGTTGGTATAACACTAACAATTCTTATCTGCATGTTTGTTACTATTACAGGTTGAGCGCCGTGAAGCATTGTGCAGACACCTCTCCGAGAGCGAGTCTTCTTTGGAAATGGAGGAGGAGAGGCAGTTCAATGAAGCATTAAATGTAAGAATTTACAATATATCGTATATAATCTATAGAACGACGGCAAGTTATATTTCTTGCGCCCGTGTCCTGGTTTGACCGATTCGTTGTTCTTATGGTAACTATCTGTGACTAATAATCAATGGATCGTGGATTCGACCCCCAGCGCCATATTTCTGAAACGAATTAGAATTAGTCATGAATGGGTCGTAAGAGTATCGAAATTCAGTCTGAGTCTATCGTGTACCGATGAATAACCCGCTGGGTTTAATCGCGTTGACTCTGTGTGTGAATTTTAAATATCCAACGCTAAAATAGGTCGACCTTACAAACAAAATGTATATTTAGTATGTCATGTTTTTCAATGAGTCGAATGGTGTAAAGTTAAGGCAACACATTCATTGTGCCATCAATAAATGAAAGTGTACTGTACAAGTACTGGCAACTGAATTCTAATATGTCCAATATCTTCACATAGGCTCGGTCCCGTAGCGTTTCTTCCCCCGGAGGATCTAGGCCTTTATCGCCCTACGCGTCGCCGTTGCTGCCAGGCGCCGGTCTGCCACTATCGCGGCCAGTTATGCATTTTAACAATGTATGTATACAATATTTTTGTTGCTTAGAATAGAGAGGTTATCGATTGAAAAAAAAAAATTATACGCAATCTGATCTGGCCTCTAATCTAAAATAATTGTTTCATATAATATATAATTTTATATTAAACAATAAATATATTTTTTTATTGAATATTCTTTTGTTGTAATTCATTTTATAGTGTTATCCGGTTCGTCAAGTAGGGCGTAGGGTGAACATATTTCTGTGTCCGTTTCATTGATCGGTTGATTCACAGGCAAGTCTGAAACAGTCTATTGTTTATCCCGGATTCAATTAAAATCGTTAACGCCAATGCGACAAGCATAACCATTTACTTACAGAAATCGCAGCATTGTGTATAATGAGATATTGTTAATTCATATTTTTAATTCCAGAAAATTGATGAATTTGTACATTTCTCATTTATTATATGTAACATTTGCAGCAAGTCCGTCGGCCTAGTGAACGGTTCGTAAAGCCAGCGGTTCCTGGGGTCATAGGCCTCCCCAGGGGACCCCTGGACCCACCTCCTGTGCCGGTACCGGTGCCTACGCCTGCACCCCTCTCACCTGCGTTGTCCCCTGGCATGCCTCAACCAGCTAGCCCCATGGACACATCTTCTAAGGACTGAATATCATACTCTGCACTCTTAAAATCTCTTGTTATCCCAAGTATGAGTCAACTTTTTTAATTGCGATTTAAACGAAATTGTTATTGAGCCCTGATATGAGGTTAGTTATTTCGAAAATACATAGCGTAGATGCGTTTCAGTTAATTGGGATAAAAAATCTTATACCTAAAGTAATCAATTTTGGACAATTGCTTATTCAAACAGAGTATCGCATTTTTTTGATTTCATATTATGGCATATATCGACACTAGTGATGTTATCGTCAAAAACTCGTACTAGGGATGCTTAATCGATTCACGTTTCCTAGCTATCGCTCTACCGATTGTGTTGAATCTTCAGAACTAAACTAGATTAAAAATAGTGTTTTTTAAAAGGAAGAATTATTTTTATTTTACGAGGTATTATTTATCACAAATATTGCGAATATAGTAAACTAAATCGCGTAAATTTAAAATTGCAAATGAGCAGGGTCATATTTAATCTACGCTTTCCATTTCGCAGTGTATAAAATACTTGTTTTATTTCGTTAATTTAATTCGAATGTGAAAATGTGCATTTGGGTCGGTTATGTTGTAGACCCTTATTTAAGCGGCTGCCCTATTAGACTACTATACATTTAATATTTATTCTATCGTTTTTCGTTTCTTACTTAAGTTTAATAAACATCTTATCTTTTCATGTTATTGGAGTTAAATTTCTGTAGAGTTTTAAGTTTTTGTTGCGATTATGTAATAACGAATTCATTTCGATAAGATGTTTGATGTGGTGTTTAAATTGTTAATAACATCGGTCCTTCACGTAGTGTCGGCCAGCTTATAACGGCTTAAATAGATAACGTGTAATATATGTTTGCAATTATGCGGCTAAAAGCGATATTTTGTAACAAATGTGCACTTTTTTGCGTCCTCGTGTATAAATTTGTGCACATCGCTCACTGCCTTAGACTTTGTACGATCTTTGAACGAGTACGATGTACAAAAAATAGTTCTCGTACGTCAAGAGTATAGCGCATAGCGATTGCATTTATTTTTGATGAATCTATAAGTTTCCAATAAAACAACTTTTTACCGGTTTAAACATGTATAATAAACATAAGTATTAACTTAGGTTTAACTACGACGTTAAAAGTGTTTTATTTTAATGTGATGTGATGAGAAAAATCATCTTTAAATTGCCAACGCTTAAATAAGTTATAAAAAATGTACAGCAATATTAGAATTATAAAAGGTTTATCTAAGTTTTCAAATGTCCATAAAATTATTTGAATATATTTAATACTAAATATTTAATTAGACTCGTCAAAAGGATCGTACAAAGTCGATAGTACTCAGAGGTTTTGATAATTAGGGCTCGTATAGTAATCATTCAGTTAGTGTTGATTAAATTATCTGTATATTCCAGTATTCGGGCTTGACTATAATAAATATAAACGGCAGTGGGTTCTGTATAGACTGTGTTAAACTCGAGTAAGGTTTGTAGCAGATTATATTATAATCTTTTGATGTGATTATCTCTAACGCCACTTTCGACCTCCTCGTGGCTGAGTTATATTCATTTGGCTTCTCAATCTTTGGGGGGAAGTGGTGGTCGACGGCTCGTTCCGTTCCTTTGCGATAATTTTCACTTAAACAGTTTATTTTTTTCATGTTACTAAAGAAATATATATGCATTGATTATTATGTTTTATTGTTTCTTTATTTACCTTTATACATATCTGTCAAAAGTTTTTAACGTGACCTGAATCTCTGACGTCAATGGGTTACCCCGTTTTATGTATTTTGAACTAAGTGTGCCAGTGACTTCGTCCGCTTAGAATAATTATATTGGGCTTCAAAACTAATTTTTGCAAACCTCCGTCTAATTACAAGTTTAACTTAAACGTTATAAGACACTATTTTTTATCGTTTAAAGAGGAATATTTTTTTAATACTATGTTTCCGCAACGGAACCCCACAAAAAAAACATTTTTTTCCTCGATAAATGGTCCAACCAACACAAAAAGAATGTTTCAATTCGAAACACTAGTTTCTGAGATAAGCGTGTTCAAACAAACATGCTTATGTATTAGTTATGTTAGTATGGATTTTGTCTTTATCTACCTATTTAGAATTAATACAGTATGGTTACAGACAGATTATTGAAATACCGTATTCATCCTTTCGCTACGGAACCCTAAATCTATTAAATTATTCCTCTATTAATATCGTGGTTATTTGTACTAAGTCGATCCTCGGTGGAGCTTTTAAATTCTTTAATCTAAACTTGGACGCAAGCCTTTTTTCAAATAGAAGTATTCGAAGTTATCGCGATGACTTTATAATGTTGACAAAACAATGGTACGTATGTCGGCGTAAACGGAGTCCACCATCGGGTATCGGCTATCGGCACCTTTAATGCTGAAGGAAATAATCGTGCTTTACACACGCGTCATAAACCTAAGCAAACCGGAGACAGGACAAGGTGTATTTATCTTGGTCGCTGCTAGGGTAACAGGTAGGGCGATTTGCATAATGCCGCCCACGATGATTTTAGCGAAATTGCTCCAGATTTTCTTCACTCATTGTCTTCGATCTCAATTATTTGTTTCAAACGTCAATAGCTTGAAGAGGTTGAAACAATACTGTCTGTCGTTTACGCAAGTAATACACATTTAAATAAAACACTAACAGTTTAAAACTCGACATACGAGTTGCTGCAAAGCATCCGAAACGTCAGATTGGGCATTTAAAATAATTAAGTTTTACTAATATATGTCGCGTTTTAAACCGTTATAGTGTTTTATTTAAGCTTGGACATTTACTTATGACAAAAGAACAGACAAGTCTAGGATTAACTATATAGAAGGTACCTATATCATATAGGCTTTGGAAACTTGAAAAACTAAAGATTCGTATCGATAGCTGTTTTCCACTTTATTGTTTTTTATCTGTGGACGATGGTTCGTGATCTACGCGGAGCTTCGATAATCTTACCCATCTCTTCAATGTCCATGCGTTCTAGACATTACAGTTCTGTACATGCAAAATAATTATAAAAAGTATGTTAAAACATTTTGTTCCAGTCGGAAGCGAATCTACGACCCGATGGTAGTTGGCCATATATGTTACAATTGGACCAGTTATTCCGTCTTTTATTTAATCGTGTATGTTCTTCATTACTACTGACTCATACTATTTTTCATAAACTTAACGTTAGTAAACTTTTATCCAAGAAGGCTGTAGGCTATAAAACATCGCGCTGTGACTAATAGAAGCAAAGATATAGCGTGAAAAGTAAACAAAAGGGGGATTTTTTTTTATCTCTGTGGGTTTTAGTTGCGTACTCTGCGAAAACGGTGCAAGATAACTAACTAACTAAATGTGTATGAAAGAATGAATTCTCTTTAAATGATCTGAAAAAAAGTCCGCGACGCTATATGTCTATCTTTTAAGATTAACTTGCAAGAACGACGGGAAGGGACGCGATCGACGTCGTGGCTAACAGCTTAAGTTTATAATGATGATATGCAAAACCTAACTTGGATGCCCAAATTAACGATTCTCGCGGACGAAGTCGCTGGCACAGCTAGTATGTGATATATGAAGATAGCAGGTAGATGGCAGGTAATTCCCGAGCTACATTGTTATATAGCTTAGATTAAATGTTTTTAAATAAGATAAGCCAAAATAGGCATACAGCGTGTAGACCTATTTTGGCTTTGTATATTAATAATAATTTCAAAATATAGTTAGTCGATCCTCATTATTCAATTTCAGAGTTAGTGTTTTCTAAACATAAAAAAAACGAAACTTCTGTATATCTCTAGGTATATGCTCTATATTCAAGTCGAGACCGATCACGTAAAATATATATTAGTTTCAAAGAGCAAACACACGTTGAAAGTGTGTTTAAAGTAAACCGCTGGAAATTAAGATTCAAATAGAAACGTATAACTCAGCCCGACGGGCGACACTCGTAAAACACAATTGTTTGCTAACCACGAATAGTTGGCGACGCGTTATTGATCCTTCCAATAATTATCGAACACGTTTCATGTCACTATGTTTAAGTACATGTTTAAACAAATCTAGCTGAGCATGGCGGAGACGTCACTGTTTGTATGGAACCGTAAGTAAGCAGTAGGTAGAGCTAACAAAGCCAATTGTGTCATTACCACAAAGTATTGGAGTTGATCGAATGTACCTGCAATGAACGACGGTGAATATTCACAGTGCGCTTATTTTTTATGAGAGATAAGCGTGATGGTAGAAGAACTACAGCTATATAACATCTAAGCAATATAAGTATTCCATCCACCTTTGAATATTCGCAATCCTGAACTGGAACGCGATTTATTTTCCCGGCTTTTTTATCTGTGGACCACCCATGTACCCAAACCCAGATTTCTACAACGAAGAATTATAATTTTCTAGAACCATGTTGGACCTGATGGATCCACACCCGTTGATACGTCATACGTTGCTACCATTACACCAACGAGCCGTTTGTGGCACAAATAAAAAATCTGATTCTTCGTTTTAATTGTCAGTACGTTCCACCGCAAATCGCGAGGTCCTGGGTTCGAATGCCAGGTCGGGTGATTGATAGATCCTGGACCGTATATTATTACCGTGATGGGGAAGTTTAAGATATTTGTTTAATCTATAGATCAATGTACATATTTTACAACAATATGTAACTTAAATACTGTCTATAGTTTACGCGAGTAAATTTAATAAAACTCTTTACAGGTTTAAAACGCGATATATTAGTCTCCCCGTGACCACGGTTGCTGCAAAGCATCTAAAACGTCGGGCCGAAGTTAAAAATCATTGTCAAATAAGTTTAACTAATATATCGCGTTTTAAACCGTTAAAGTGTTTTATTTAAATATGTAACTTATTGCACATTTATCAGTAGATTTGGATAGAGGTATAAAGATCATAATCTTATGGTGGGTGATGAAATTCTTTAGCTACAAAACGTTTATGGACATTGGACTCAGGCACACCTACTAATAA